TTAGATATTAATATGTATCTTCAAGGACCTGTCATTAAAAAAATATAGATTGTTTTATGAGTGACACCATGTCCTTTTTCAAAAGCCTTCAGTTTAAAGGGATAGTTCACACAAAAATGAAAATGTACTCACTATTTACTCACCCTCAAGTGGTTTATTTGATCAGTTTTATGTTTTTTTCTGTAAAATAATATTAGAAACTGGTAACCATTTACATCCATATTAGGAAAACAAATATGGAAAGTAAATTTTGGGTGGTCCTCCCCACTGACAAAGTCCAGAATTTGGCCCTTACATGAGCCCATTTGTCCCATTATTGACAGCATGTCATCATAAATTTAAGAAGGCTTTAATACAAATTTTATTTTTAATTATTCAAATGGATAAATTCTGACTGAGGAAATGAGTTTATTATATACTCATAGGCTACAGTTTTTGATTTAAAACAAGTTTTAACAGATTCCTAATTCTTTATTTTTTAAGACAGTGATGCATGATTATAAATTTGTATTTTAAAAATAAGTATTTTCATATTTCTCTATTCTATTATTTTAATTTAAAATTCTAATCTCGTAACATTATTTAATATTTTACCATTTAAAAACACAATCGTAAATAAATCCTTTGCTAAAAGCACTTTGACAAATTAAAGGAAATATTTTTGTTGCTTTAAAAAGTGTGATAACGATCACCATCTGACAAGTTAATCCAGCAAAGAGTAGTGCTTAAAATGTCATTAAAATGCAGTATTTGAACCTCATAATTTAATAGAAAATTAGACTAATACCTGGAAAAATGTCAATTTTTTAATAAGAAGAGCCACCACTGTCAATAGGCTGGCTAGGGTGAATAGGTTTACGGTTAGCTGCATTTAATTACGTGCATTAATTATAAGTACAAGGAACATGTGCTACAACTGCATATTACCATTATACGTTTCTTTAGTCTTAACATTCACAGACCAGTTCAGATAAAAACAAAATAGTACATTATATATTCATAAGGTTCCAAATAGGTGCATCAAAGGGACGTCAGCACATTACTGGTGTGCTTTATAGCTTGCATTGGCTCCCAGTTCAGTCCCGTATCCTTTTTAAAACAGTCACACTTGCATATAAAGCTCTACATGATACCGCTCCTTCCTATATCTGTGACATTGTCTCTCAGTATACACCTTCTCGCTTCCTGCGGTCTGCTGATCCTCTCACCCTTCAACAACCACCTTGTAGACTAAAATCAATGGGAGAGAGAGCTTTCTCTGTTGCTGCACCTTGGTTATGGAATGCTCTCCCTTACTCTGTATAAGAAATGCTTCCACACTAGCTAGTTTTAAGAAGATTCTAAAACTCATCCTTTTTAAGACTGCATTTTTAGATTCCTGATTATTCTGTGTTTATTTTATTTTTTAATGTATACTTGTATTTTATTGCATGTTTGATTTCTCTGTTGTAGCGCTTTGGGTCTTAGAAAAGTGCATTATAAATAAAATAAATAAAATGTATTATTATAGTTCAACCAAAATACAATTATACTCTCACTGTGCATTTCCAATAATGTAAAAATTTTATTTTTTTAATTCCCACTGTGAAAAAACATTATGGCATTTTTTTTTTCGGTATGTTAATTGCATGGAACTTTTAAAGAATTTTTTTTTTTTTTAATACGAAATTGTACAAAGTTTCTTTGTGTAACCATTGAACTAAACTATTTTGTTGTAGCATACTAGTTGGTTATTTTGGTTATTTTAGGAACATTTTACTGTTTTAGGAACCAAAATTTAATTGCATCTTATATTCTTATACTTATCCACTTATCTTGCATCACACTCTTTATTTAGATAATTGTTACATGAGAAACATTTAAAATTCAAACCTTTTCATTACATCATTTTTCTTTTTATGAAAAATGTATGTTCACCTTAAAGTAAAAAAACTTGATTTTGCTGCTTGTTCAAACTACTTATTTAAGTGAAGTTTTCAAACTAATTTCGAGAGGAGCATGTGATATGATCATGGCTGGTTTCTCATCCATAATCAGCAATAATCCAATCAGATTTATCAAAGCCTATAAATAGACCGATTTCATCCTATTGCCTTATCTTCATTTTGAAAGAGTCCCTTCTTCCACCCCATCTCCTCCTTTTACCAGGGGAGCTTGCCAGATCTGATCTTGGACCCCTCTTATGCTTACTGACCAGGCTCAGGGCTCTCCTGCAGCATGTCAAACCTGCTAATAGCATCAAGCAATATCTAAGTGTGAACTCTTGAAAATGAATTGAAATAACACAATTCTTAAATTGTTTTTTTGACACCTTAATTATTTAATATTCAATCTACTTCAATTTATATATTTTTAAAAATGATTAAGTTAACTTAAATGATTTGTGTTGGGACAACAAGAAAAACTTGTATGTAAGCCAGGATTTTTTTTACTAGTAACACAGTGTCGATCTGCAAAAGCCCTCTGTTTAAAGGGATAGTTCAACCAAAAATTTAAACTATTTACTCACCCTCAAGTGGTTTCAAACGTTTATCAGCTTATGTTTTTTTCTGTAAAAAATATTAGAAACTGGTAACCATTTACATGCATAGTAGGAAAACAAATATGGAAAGTCAATGGCCACCCTTTACCAAAATTCTTCAAAAACTCTGAATAAAGAAACTGAAAACAGCTTGTGACAAGTGACGTATAATGTATTACTGAATTTTCAGTCCCTTTAAGTGTTTTGCAGCATAACAATTTAACTTTCCATATTTACATAAATTACTTTAAAATTAGCAGAATCTGAGATTTTGCATGGTATTTAAATAATTTGTTCACTTTCTCACATGAAGCAATCACAGTACTTGAAATACAGGTCAGCCCTGATAAGTTATCTGATGGTGCTGCCACTCTCTCTCTCTCTCTCTCTCTCTCTCTCTAAGAGGCGAATGGCAGCTTCTTATCTCTCTCAGGTTCATATCTTTCACTAACAGCAGCAGGAAAAACAAAAGCTTGATCCCCTGAGCTGACAAAAATTTACATTATAGCTAAGGATAAACTTTGCCTGCGGCTTTCTAGCAGTATATCGACAACTGTGACCTCGTCTTTTTGTAGCACACATAAACAAAATATAAGATAGCTTTTACCTTAAGATAGGCCTATACCTTAAACTTTAAGATAGGCTTATGTCTATAAATTTATAAACTTTATGGTCAATTTTAATTCAGGGTTATATTTTCTATTATGATTATGGAAATAAATAGGCTACAACTAGATTTGTGTTGGGACAACAAGTCGAAATTGTGTGCAACCCATGCGTTTTTTACAGTGTAGTTTGGTGATGAACAATATGTTGTCTGGACGTACATTTTTAAGTCCTTCATGATATAAATATCACTAACAGAGCAGCTCATGTTTCTATTTTCCCCTTGGGAATTGAGTTATGATTCCATTACACCCCTTTAAAACCAAAACAGCTCACAGCATTTGCTGAGGAAACAATAACAAAAGCTTCGAGCGACATCTTGTGGTCTGACACACGAAATGATTCTTTTTTCTTGCGATGTATCATCACTGTTTTGGAATGATTTAAGTTCATATTGTTTTTTTAAGATTAATATGAGTGGTAATTTGCACCTTAAGTATGTCATTTGTTATTTTGAAAACCAAAACAAGTCGTTAGAAGCCACTGTGAACTTTCTAATACTTGCTGGGAAAAATTTACTTTCACAAACAGGTTCCTTAAAAAAATAAAATAAAATAAAATCTGTCGACTTTCTTATCCATCTAATGTGATTATTGTGTAAAAGAACTGTTATCTTTAACTGTATTTTAAGTTATATTATACAGTTTCTTAAAGTTAATTAAAAATAAATAAACAAAAAATTAAAAACTACATCTTTATGTAGTACTAAATAATTGATGTTTTCTCAAATTGACTGACCATCTTACCAAAAACATTATTTGAAATATGTCCATTTAGATTTGTATAAAAAATATAGTTGACTATTTGTAAAATAAAAAAACACTTTTTGATAAGATTTTTTTTATTTTCAAATATAACACTGATAATAAAGAGTTTTCATTCTTTTACACAATCAGTTTGTGTATTTACTCTTTTTTTACTTGTGAAATTACCACATTTGTGAAAGCGACAACAATTATAGCACTATTGGAATAAATTGTTACCTGAATTACTAATAATTATGCATGATAACAAATATCAGTAAATTAACAGATATGAAAAACATCTGAGCTAGCAATTTACTCTACTGAGTGAAGCCTGCAGCCACTGCTCTTTTGAGTCACTGTTTAAAATGGCTAAAAGTAGCCAAATGTATGTTAAAAATCGCTTTTTTTTTTGCTTGGTGCTTTTTGAAAAAAGTTGCTTGGGTAGTTTGAAAAGTTGCTAAATCTAGCAATATATATGGCAACAAAATAGCTAAGTTGGCAACACTGGATTGAATTAATGCTGTAGTAGCTAATGTTCATAATTAGTCAATGTTAGTAGTAAATACATTAAGCTAACTGATGAAACCTAATTGTAAAGCGTGACACAAATTGCCATTCAGTGTATTAATAAGTTACATATGGGAAGTCTTAATTTGATATAGATAGTAATTTCAGTACAGCGTTCTTGATCCTTATCTGAGGTGGAAGTCTACACAGCACTACTGTTACATTGAACTACGCAGAATATTATGAAACTTGTTTTCATAAAAGCAGATAACGCTCATAAATTGCACAATTTCAAAATAATGATGCCGATGACTGGGATGTGGAACTCTGATAACCGTGGGTGTGAATGAAAACAACGCAGCTCATTGAAGCAAACGCATCCCGCCCTATTCTGCTTTACTATTGGCTAAAAGTCACGTCAGTCTCACGTACGCGCGCTCTCATTGGTCGCCCCAGCGCGTTTTTTGATGACGTAGCCGCTTGACCTTCTTGTACTACAATACGATTGGACAGTCCGCGAGTCCACCATCAACTGCATGTTTCTATTGGTAAGCTTAAACACGCCTGTCCTCCATTGCCCAAATCTCACATTTGAAGGTTAAAGTCAGTCAGTGTTCATCATACCGCACTTCAATCCAGCGGTAACCACTCTCCCCCCTCTTCTCTACATTTACAGACCCATTAAACCAGCAAAATGTCGATATTTGGTGAAGTCCCACAGGCTGCTCCTGTCGCAGTGTTCAAACTGACAGCAGATTTCCGTGAGGATCAGGATCAGAAGAAGGTGAATCTGGGAGTCGGAGGTGAGAGATGCGCTAGAAACACACACACAGATTTGCATATCTAGATATACATAAGTGTGTGTGTGTGTGTGTGTGTGTGTGTGTGTGTCAGAATAATGCATGCTTTGGCTGAGTTCATACTGTTATCCTCTTACTGTGACAACAATAGGCCTTTTCAATAAAACAAGACCTGCTTATCTGCTTCTGTACTGCTCATTTAGAATGAATTGCATTTAAATAAGCCCCATGTGTTTTTAAATTATGATACTGGAGGACACAGCACGTGAGCTCAGATCAGCTGTTTTCTGCAATCCAATAGCAGCATCAGTAACATGAGATTCTTCATGCATTATGATCTGACATTTAACGTTAACTGTCTCTGATTAACTGAATGTAAATATATAACTGTAGGCAGTGTGTACTGTATGCTGATTTTCCATTAGATTTTAGATTAATGTTACATAATATATATATATATATATATATATATATATATATATATATATATATATATATATATATATATATATATATATATGGTCTGAGCATTAAAATCATACATATAAACTTTTAACGCTGTTTTAATATCATTTTAATATTTTATATATATATCAGGGTTCATGTGTATTTTTACTACAAAAATTCCATGACATTTCCAAAACTTTTAGGTAAATATTCATGACCTAATGTTTTATGTAATGCGATGTACATGTAGTAAATGAGAAAAAAATTGTCTAAAAAATGTTCAAATGTATTTTAGCATATCAAAAAAAAAAAAATGTGATAATCTGTTTATTTTTATTTTATACCAGTAAAATCGCTTTTAGAAAATATCTTGTGTGAAAATTTTTAAAAATGTTTGCTTGTGTCTTAGGCTAAAGGCTAAATTAGCGCAAATTAGCCTTTAGCACACACATTATCCTACCTCTGTAGTAGTTATTAGAGATTGTTGCTGGACATGACACTCAAAATGTATCTTGAATTATGACAAATGCAAGTGAAAGAGAGGTAAAGCTAAAACTGCAAGTTGCTTTTTGCCCCACACAGAGAATGTCACGTGAAGGGATAGACATCGCAATTGTATTTGAAATTTACCCAATATTATCTTCTCAAATACATTAAAGTACACAGATATTTGTTTTGCAAATTTCCATGACTTTTTCAAAACATTTTGGGTTTACTTATTTTTCCCAAAATTTTCCAGGCCTTACAAAAATTTTTCTGTACAAAAAAAGTTTTCCAGTATCATAAGAACCTATATATATATATATAGAGAGAGAGAGAGAGAGAGAGAGAGAGAGATAGATAGATAGATAGATAGATAGATAGATAGATAGATAGATAGATAGATAGATAGATAGATAGATAGATAGATAGATAGATAGATAGATGATGTTTTAGTATTATTTAAAATTCCTCTCCCATTTAGTCACGCTTAATGTACTGGAAACAATAATGGTAATACTCTTATTACTGCTACTAATACTTTATGTTAAAAAAAATGCTTACACATGTATTTTACAATTTTAAAATCTCTTTGCCTCCGGGTAAAAGGAACAAAAACAGCTTTTAGTTTTAGGAAACTTTACTTTTCTGTTCACTGCATAAGCCACACAACATAATATATTTTATCACACTGACATTAAAGTCATGTCATTTAGCTCCAATGGCATCTAGGGCTTCTAAATATATCTAGGAGATCCTGATCCTGCTCTCTCAAGACAAATCAGCTGTGGATAGATTAAAAAAAAACATATTTGCTCATTATATATATCTAAAAGGTATAATAAAAGTTATCCTGGCACTGGTCGGCCATTCACTTGTGCAGCGCTGTTAGCTGTGGATGAATAGATTGTGTTCTGTCAACAGTATTATTGTGCAGAAGCAGGGGTTATCTGTCATCTGCTGTGTAGTTATTCCTGATCCTGGTTAGTCAGCTTGACCTTGGAGGATTGTGTCAGGATTATCTTTATCTTCTGCTTTTCCTGACACCCAGCAGACACCGAACGTGACTCCTGAGTGAAAGATGAAAGTCACCTCTTTGAAAAGCCCTGAGTCATGGTTGTTTGTGCATTTTTTTGTGACCACCTCCCTCTAGTCTGTGGTCTTTCCTCAGTGTCAATGCTGAAATGATTATCTCTCTTGAGCAACCCTGAAAAACACACTGATTTTTATGTGCTTTCTGAAGATGTTCGCTGCAAGAAAACGATATTTTGTTGTGCATGTGAATTAACTTAAAATATTAGTATTATTGTTTTGAATATTGAAGATTATAGACCATATTAAGTGCAACACATTAAGATTATCACTTATTTTTATTTCAGTCGTTAAAATATAATAATAAATGTGCTATATTAATATATTGATTGATTGGCACTTCAACTTCAACTGTATAATCAACTTTATGAAAATATTGCTGTGCCTCACAAAACTCATGTAATTCAGATATTGACCAGTAATAAACAGAACAGATGTTTTGTTCTGCATGTGTTTTGGATTTTAAAAGAAAAGCTGCAGCAGGATATCAGAACAGAAGTACACGTTATTGTCGAATAAGCACATTTTGCTCATGGTTGAAAGTTCACAGATAAATCCTGATCCTAGACTGCACTGATAAAATAGGAACAATTGAGTATGATTGATACTGAATAGAAAGGAATTCACTGAAATTTGTAGTGTAATATACAGTTGTTGAAGACATAATCATTAGCCCTCATTCATTCATTTTCTTGTCGGCTTAGTCCCTTTATTAATCTGGGGTTGCCACAGCGGAATGAACCGGCAACTTATCCAGCAAGTTTTTACACAGCGGATGCCCTTTCAGCCGCAACCCATCTCTGGCAAACATCCACACACACACACACACACACACACTCATACACTACGGACAATTTAGCCTACCCAATTCACCTGTACCGCATGTCTTTGGACTCTGGGGGAAACCGGAGCACCTGGAGGAAACCCACGCGAAGGCAGGGAGAACATGCCAACTCCACACAGAAACGCCAACTGACCCAGCCGATGTTCTAACCAGCGATCTTCTTGCTGTGAGGCGACAGCACTACCTACTGCGCCACTGCCTTGCCCTCATTAGCCCTCTTGGTTGTGAAAATAAGTACCAAGTTAATATTTATCACATGATATGTATGATATTTTTGTCACAGTGTTTCTTATTATATTTGTTCTTCTAGATAAAGGATTATTATTGGCTGGAATAATTAACAAAATATTAAATGAATGAAATTGCTAAGGTTAATATTATGTAAACTCAGAAGCGAAGAGCAAGATACTCTGGGGTTTTTTCAAGTAGTTTTCTTTATTAACAATCTTCTGGCACGCTGTAGTCATCAAAGACTAGGGTAGTGTTACTCTGTATTTGATCAATTTTAGGGGGCTGCAATGCATGGAGGTGGAGATTTAAAATAGTTTAAAGGTCCTGTGAAATTAAATGTTTTTAAGATGTTAGTAAAAGTTAATTTTAAAGATATCAAGTAGATAATCTAGTGTGCTCCAAAACAGTGACAAAATAAAGTTTAGAAGGTATAAAACTGTCATAATTATCTAAAGCTTGCAGTTTGTCCCCCTTAAATCGATCTTTTTTTTTTTTTTTTGACGCCACCTCATACTTAAGTTTCTCATCAAATATGGACCAATCAAATGCTATTTACAATCTGACATGCCCTGCCCCCTTCAAGATGCTTCTCATTTGCTTTTCTTTTGATGCTCTTGAGCTCAGCCACTCTCACTGGCTGAGCTGTTTTTAAAAAACATGCTATTGGCTGTTTTTAATAAGGGGGAGGGGCTACTATATATCTCACCCTCTCTTCATTTTTCTGTAAAACATTGAATAAAAATGAACACTTTAAAGCACTTTACACTCACAGCACTTTTAATATTGTTGTCTAAACAAGAAAACATTTTCTCAGAATTCTTGATCTGAAAGTAGGGAAAGCAGCATTATTTAAAAATCTTTACCTTATAAATGTCTTTACTGTCATGTACTTCATCCTTGCAGAATAAAAGTATTAATTTCTTCCAATAAAAAAAAAAAAAAACGTTTGATCCAAAATTTTAGCTGAGAGGGAGTGTGTGGATCATAATTTAGCCTGCCTTTGTTTTGAATGGTCATGGTGTTCCTCTCTTCAGCCTACAGGACAGATGAATGTCAGCCCTGGGTTCTCCCCGTGGTGAGGAAAGTGGAGAAGATGATCGCTGATGACCACAGTTTGAACCACGAGTACCTGCCCATCCTAGGCCTGCCAGAATTTCGTTCCAGCGCATCTAAGATCGCTCTTGGTGAAGACAGTCCTGCTATTAAGGAGAACCGGGTCAGAAAAGATCACACTTATTTCACAAACATAATTTTGTAATTGTTTTTTTTCTGTTGTAGGATGCAGGTGTTTGATCGCTTCTTTTACAACTATTTAAATATTTCTTCAGTTAAGCCTCCAAAATATAAAAGTCTCTGGAAATACAATCTACAGTAATCTTAAGAATGAATACTTTTGAATGAATCTATCAAATTTAACAGTAAAGAGATAATTTAAATTTAAAATATAAGTGATGCTCTTTTCATATGTCTAGTCATCAGAAAAATTAAATAGATTGGGGTTTCTATACAAACTTTAGTGATCTATTAAAAAGGATGCCTCTTTTGCAGCAAATCAGCATGTTAGAATGGTTCCTGAAGGATCATTGAGAGTGAGTGACGTTGCTGAAAATTCAGTTTATTGTATACATTGTAAAATGTATTCGAATAGGACATTAGTAAAATGCTAAATTGTATTAGCATTTCATATTACTGATTTTATTGTGTTTTGAATCAAATAATGCAGCCTTAATAAAAATGTAGCAACATGTTAATTGTCTCTCTCACTATTCTATTCTATTCTATTCTATTCTATTCTATTCTATTCTATTCTATGCTTCCTTCCTTCCTTCCTTCCTTCCTTCCTTATTTCCTACCTTAATTCCTTAACTACTTAAATCAAGGCTGGTAATATATATTTGTGATTCTGGAACACAAACTACAGTTGAAGTCAGAATTATTAGCCCCCCTTTGAATTTTCTTTTCTTTTTTAAATATTGCCCAAATGATGTTTAACAGAGCAATTTTCACAGTATGTCTGATATTTTTTGTTCTTCTGGAGAAAGTCTTATTTGTTTTTTTGTTTTTGTTTTTTGGATATAATAAAAGCAGTTTTAATAAAAAAAACATTTTAGGGACAAAATAAGCCTCTTTAAGCCAAGTATTTTTTTCCGATAGTCTACAGAATAAACCATCATTATACAATAACTTGCCTAATTACCCTAACCTGCCTACTTAACCTAATTAACGTAGTTAAGCCTTTAAATGTCACTTTAAGCTGTGTAGAAGTGTTTTGAAAAATATCAAGTAAAATATTATTTACTGTCATCATGACAAAGATAAAATAAATCAGTTATTAGAAATGAGTTATTAAAACTATTATGAATAGAAAAAGGGCGAGGCAGTGGCGCAGTAGACTTCACAGTTTCACGGTTTCCCCCACAGTCCAAAGACATGCGGTACAGGTAAATTGGGTAGGCTAAATTGTCCGTAGTGTATGAAATTCCAGAAATGGGTTGCGGCTGGAAGGGCATCCGCTGCGTAAAAACTTGCTGGATAAGATGGCGGTTCATTCCGCTGTGGCGACCCCGGATTAATAAAGGGACTAAGCTGACAAGAAAATGAATGAATGAATGAATGAATGAATAGAAATGTGTTGAAAAATCTGCTCTCCATTAAACAGAAATTGGGGGAAAAATTAAACAGGGGGGCTAATAATACACTTCAACTGTACTTCATACATTTTTAAGTTTATAAATTATTTAATTAAAGTATATTCATTAAAAATGGAAAAGTCTGAAAGTCTGAAAGCAAAATGAATAAACTTTCCTCTTTTGTATGTTTGTTAGGATTGGGGAATGTTTGGCAGAGAAAAAAACTATTTGAAAATTTGGAGTCTAAGGGTACAAAAATAATCTAAATACAGAGAAAATCACATTTAAAGTTGTCTAAATTGAGTTTTGGTATTTACTTTTATGGCCTTTGTAAAAGTAAATATCTACTTTACTTTAATACTTAAATGTATTGTTGAAAATGTACTAAATATTTTAATGGCACATGATCCATACTTAATATTCTAATGAATTTTGGTATAAAACAAAAATGTATTATTTTAACCCATGAAAGCTTTTTTTTGCCAAAGATATACCCTTGCAACTTAAGACTGGTTTTATGGTTCAGGGTCACATTTTTGGTCGGTAATTACCCAAATTAATTATAGGTTTATTTGCACATTTTATTTTATAGTTTTTTACTGCTGTTTTTTGTTTTTATGTGACGTTTTTGGTTGTTTTTCAGGTAGGGGCTGTGCAGTGTTTAGGAGGTACTGGTGCTCTAAAGATCGGAGCTGAATTTCTTCGCCGCTGGTACAATGGAACTGACAACACAAAAACTCCAGTTTATGTGTCTGCACCAACATGGGGTGAGCAGAAGACCAAGTCACATATAGAAAATCTGTATAACTGCATTACAGCAATACAGATACTTAATTGGCCAGAGTATTTTAACTTGCTGTTTTTATACCAAGTCTGAAATGTATTTTTATAGTTTGGCTTTTGAGAGCTGCTTTTTAAAAGCATTATGTACAGCACTTTGATAAATATTGTCATGACTGCGCAAAAGGCGGATCTGCGTGAATGAGTGTGCAGTTGTACAAACCTGCATTTGCTGACAGACAGTTTGGGCTACTTATCAGAATTATGGGAAGTGTCGGCCTGACAAATTTTAATTGGATGAACATTTTTTAGTCTTATGCCTTACCCAGAATATAAAAATACATACAGTTGAAGTCAGAATTATTTGCCCCCCTGTTTATTTTATCTTTGCCATGATGACAGTACATAATATTTGACTAGATATTTTCAAGACACTTCTATACAGCTTAAAGTGACATTTAAAGGCTTAACCAGGTTAATTATGTTAACTAGGCAGGATGGGTTAAGTCGACAACAATGGTTTGTTCTGTAGACTAGCGAAAAAACATATAGCTTAAAGGGGCTAATAATCTGACCCTAAAATGGTGGTTAAAAAATTAAATACAGCTTTTATTCTAGCTGAAATAAAACAAATAAGACTTTCTCCAGAAGAAAAAAAATATTATCAGACATCATTATCGTAAACCATCGTTTAGGAAATATTAAAAAAAGAAAAAAAGTTCAAAGGGGGCTAATAACTCTGACTTTAAATGTATAAATGCATTTAGATCATTTACTTTAATCTTTACTATTGGAATGTGAAGGGACTTTCAACCAGCACAACAACAAAAAATGTTTCTGAAGACAATCACTTACTGCACCTTTAACTTGTTTGAGTAAATTATTGTGTTTATTGTTGTTTCAATTTCTTAAATGTTAATCATCTTGCATCTTTGGTTGTAGAAAACCACAATGCCGTTTTCTCTAATGCTGGGTTTGAGGACATCCGTCCATACAAATACTGGGACCCAGTGAAGCGTGGACTCGATCTGGCAGGTTTTCTGGGTGACATGGAGGTGAGTAGTGGTTTAAATTCCGTTTGTGTTTTATAGCTGCTTATTTATCAGGTTTTGATAAAAAGTCAACTAAGATCTTTTTAATATTTGTGCAGAAAGAATTCTATAATTAACCACACAAGTGCCATTATAAAATTGAATTACAGTACACTAACAGGGAAACACTGTAAATGATGATCATTAAAGGGGTGGTCCACTACGATATCATATTTTAAACGTTAGTTGATGTGTAATGTAGCTGTGTGAACATAAACAACATCTCTGAATGTAAAAAGTTCAATGCAAAGGGAGACCTTGGTTTTTACAGAGTTAGCTTAGCAAAGCCTACAATGAAAGAATTTTGGGGACTACAAAAAATACTTCCGCCTCCTGTGAGATCACAAAGGTTGGTTTAATGCGCACACAAACTAGCTAAGAGCCGTGGCCAGAGGTGCTGTAACGTTATAGCAGAGATGAAGCAAAAAATGCATCTAAACACTGCTGTTTCCACAGAGCTTCGTCTGTTTCTGTATTTGGGCTTCCAAAGGACACGACACAAAGACAAAAGTGCTTACAGTTCAATATTAATTATGTTCCTGAGAATTATAAAATACACAGCAAGCATGATTTGACAAAACAGCTCCAGAATCTCTCTCAGTTCAGTGCTGGATTCGGCTAAAATCTCCTTAAAGCAGAAGCTGTGAACTACAACCTGAAAGTGTTTTTATTTGTTAAAATTGATCATGACATGTACAGTGTCTAGCGTTAATGGTATGCTGTAGCAACGATGTAAACAATGGGAAATGCTGCTTTGCGCCACAAATGATTTAGCTACAAATTCATATTAATCATACTGCTGTAAAAACACACACACTCCACCAGCACGTTTGTTTCTCTTATGTGTGTGCGCAACTTTGCATTGATTGTCTTTAAGCAGCTTTTCCATGTTTCATATCTCAGATAATGAAGTCGCAAAAGATATGTGGATGATTTATATTACTTATACTGGCTTATTCGGATACATGTGAAAGACGTCATGTAACACATAGAGTTAAAAAAAAAAAAACAGGATAGCTCACCTGACTCGTGGTAGCAGCAGAAAAATAAATCACGGCTCACACAGGTCTCATCCCACATCTTGTGCTTTATTCTTCTCTCACAATATATTACAGAAAATAACTTAATCCGAGCATCAGAGAAAAAGAAAAAAAACTCTCGCTCACATGCGCTTGTTACAGAAAGTTCACACATTCTCTCTCACACACACACACACACACACATAGACGCAAACGCTCTTAAAGGAGCCGCACCCCATTTTCACTCGTTACAGAAACTTGTCAGATTTTATTTTTGTGAGCAGGCAGGAGGTTGACTGATTGTTTACACAACAGAAAATTGCGTGCTTTTATGGGTGTGGTGTGGAGCCAATCTGCAAATCGCAGCACATTATGACGATGACCAATCAGAGTCACTTAAGGGCGGGCCTTTCAGAGGAACTAAGACATATATCAGTCGTTTTCATGTTAGCCGAGTAGCTGTGTATAATCAAAGTGAGATGTATGAAAAAATAACGCGATTTCCTTCAAGTGAAACATGAGCACACATTGCTTTGCATCTTATAAACACAACCAAGCCTTAAAATTATATTCTGGACCACCCCTTTAAATAAACATTTGCTATATACAGTCTAACTCTCATGTCTTTGGCATCAGAGTGCACCTGATCACTCCATCTTCGTTCTGCATGCCTGCGCCCACAACCCCACTGGCACAGACCCCACCCAGGACCAGTGGAAGCAGATTGCTGAAGTCATGAAGGTGAGGGCATCACTACACCTCCACATCATCTGACCGACATGCCAGGTTTAGAAATACTGAAGCACATAGAACAAAAATGGTCCCTAATTGTGTGTAATAGAGCATTTAAACACAGCCTACCATTACAACCTACTGTTGTCTAAATTTAAGCTCTCTGTAGTTTTATAAATACTAAGTTAACTATTGCACAATAACTTGAATATATCATAAAGTTGAGTCACACAGGGTCATCATGGCATTGCTTTACAATCAAGTTTATTTCATTAAAAGTTACATTTAATTTTGTCAGCTTATCTTAAGACTTTCAGTGGGATTCAGGTCGATTTGTAGTCAATTTATGAATAAAATGTAGCCTTTTTTTCACAATTTGAGTTAATCTTGGAATCATCATCCTGAATGTTGATGGGATATGTCTTGTGACAGTTGTTTAGTGCATGAAATAAAAAGTAATACTGCGTTCATTACGGTTAAAAGTAGAGATGCATGATATATCGGTGACAACTTTGGTATTGGCTGATAACTACAGATTTTTTAATTTAATGTTACTGTTATTGGCCCGATGAGAAACATAGGTTTATGTATAGCTCATAAATTGAAACTAAAATAGGAAAACACCAAAAGACCAAAAGTCTTGATTGATGTCCTGTTCAATTGAAGGATCTTTGTTTTTTCCAGTTAAGGTATTTAATGAAATCAGTTGCCCACTGTATTTTTATTTATTTATTTTTTGCTTTTTGCGTTTGTATTCACATGCAGAAAAAAATAATAATTAGCAAAGATTTATGAGGGGTCACTCTAGTCTGATGGCTACAATTAGAGTTTGATGATGAAACCTATTTTAAATTATTTATTTATTTGACCATTTTATTAATTTTTAAAAGTATACCTTCTAGCATTAAACACATTTCGTCTAGCATTTTCTGCCTTTTTATAAGGACCACCAAATTTCAGAAATTGTATTTGTGTATATATTTATGTTATGAATATTTTCATTCAGACTGTCTGCTGTTTTTGTGCAATTTCCCCCATTCTTTTTTCTAGGTTTTTTTTTTAAGATTGATTGTGAATATTACAGTTTTTCTCAGTGGCTTTGGTGCGTTTCTTACAACACTATTTATATTTGAACATCAGTTAATGCATTTCTTAAAACAATTAGTCATTTGTGCACATCACAGTAGCAGATTCTCATTGCTTCCAACAAAATGCAAATGCTTTTGGAATGCATCAATTGCTTTTATACAACTCTCTGCTATTTATTACATTATCATCTGCTTCTTTTTGTTTATTTCAAAATTAACTAAACTTGTGAATGCTGAATAGTCATTCCATATTAAACTAATAGTCTTCATTTCATTACTTGAGTCATTACATACAAAAAATGTTGGACTAGCTGTCAAAATAAGTCAAATGTAAATTTTATAAAAAGGTTTTAATCTTTTTTTTTCACCTGAAAATGTCTTGAACAATTTGATGAATGATTTACAGACCTGTGTATGTTGTAGGTTTAGTTCCAATATATTCTGCAATATTGTTTATAGTTGTGCACAGCTCTACTCAAAGGAAGTGTATGTTTGCTTTAAATAAGGGTGTGTTTATTCTTTTGCACAATTCTGTAAATAAACTAGGATTGTAAAGTGCAAATGCAGTAAAAATGTGAAATATGCATTTAGTGTCTTGAACTCAGATATCTCACTAAATGCAGTGATGTCTAACTTTACTGTAGTTTTCAAATGGCTGTGCAAATAGTATTTAGTGCTGTCTTGAGCATTTGCAGGACGTGTCACCAAAATCTGACTTTTATGCTTTGGAAAACATGTACAGAGTAAACTGTCATAATGAAAACATGACAAAGCCATTTGACTATCTTGTTCACAAACAATGGTGTCAGGACTTTTCATTTTAATGACACTGACACCTTCACTGACATGAATACTTGCTTTTGAGGAATGAGCTATCCATTTTGAGGCAGTGACACACTTTTGCAGGTTATCATCTCGGTTTTGCAGTTTGTACTAATTGTTTTGAGAAATGCATTAACTGTTGTGCAAATGTAAATAGTGTTGTGAGAAATGCACCAAAGCCACTGAGAAAAACTGTAAAATAGGTGTCTCCTGGTAAAAAGGTGTGACTTTAAAAACATCAACAGATTTCTAAGGAACAATTTTTAATGTAAGAGTTGAAAATGTAAATAAAATAATAAAGAAATTATTAAACTTTTATTTAAGGTTTAAAATACAAAAATATTCAATTTAGCAACACTTGTTTACATGTTTGGTGAACAAAGTTACTGCAGTTCTCTTGTATAATATAGAAAACAGCACATTTAGTACAGTACAGTTCTATTAAACACAAAAGAAGATATTTTGCAGAATGTCAGAAATTTGCAGATATAATCATGAATAGTAGAAGGAAATACTGTGAAGGTCTGTGACTATCAGTTTCCAACATTCTTTAAAATAGCTTCTTTTGTGTTCAACAGAATAAAGAAACACAAACATATTTGTGACGCATAAATTATGAGTAAATGTTGACTTAATTTTCATTTTTTTGAACCATCCCTTTACGTTTTTGATTGCCTAAATCCAAACTGTCATGTCTTATGTATGTAACTAACTAATTATCTCTTTTCTCATTTGTCTCTTCAGCGAAAGAATCTGTTTGCCTTCTTTGATTCAGCCTATCAGGGCTTCGCCTCAGGAGATTTAGAGAAGGACGCCTGGGCCGTGCGTTACTTTGTATCACAGGGTTTTGAATTGTTCTGTGCTCAGTCGTTCTCCAAGAACTTCGGTCTGTACAGTAAGTGGCTCCGACAGCATTTACAGGTTATATTTTTATTCTATCCTGGTTCAGAAACATGTGATTTTAAAGAGTAATCTGACTCCGCAGATGAGAGAGTGGGAAACCT